CTCGAAGAATCAAGAACCGTTGAAAAAAATTTCATTTCAAGATCTCCTCGACAAAACAAGACGAGTCGTTAGTAATAGGAGAAATAGAACTTTCTCCGTCTTGTCTCCGTTACCGTGATCTCTGGCAATCTTACGAGGGGATCATAGCTATAGGCGGATCATAGCTACAGAACACACGCGAACTCGAGAACTCGAGATGCCATCGAAACTGGGTCGATCGAAGAGGCAGCTGCTTGCTGAAAAAGCTTCGTGCCCGGGTCTATTGTCGCTTCGAGTGCTCTGGAAGAATTACCTCTTGCATCCACAGTATCACGCCTTTTTTCCACCCCTCTCCTCTTTTTTTCTTGCCAATTAAAGCTTCAGACTGGACGTTCCGCCCGGGAGGATTCTTCGATGAGGAAATTCCGGCGTCTTGCTATCTTATTTCACGAACCATTGTATATACTCTCCTTTCCTTTGACGAGGCTCGTTACATGCCCGACCAGTTACTTTGTAACTCTGTCTCGCCCAAGTGGCTGTTTTCGAGTAATTATTAACTCTTTCGCGTATACAGGAAGAAGAACGTTCTACTAACTCCCGTAGTAAAAAAGGAAAAATTCCTCGCGTGTTTAAAGCGTAAAATAAAATTCTTCTAAAGAGATTATCGTCACTGCGATACCAGAAAGTTCCTCTGGAAGAAAATTTTAACTCTCTCGTTCTCGTAATTTTGACTTTCAATCAAAGGCTTCTTATTTTACGTACTTTTCCAATGAAATTCGATTCGCATCACTGTCCAAATTTTCAGACACAGAAATTATTTTTTGAATTAACTGTTTTATCTTGAATGTTACTATTTTATCTTGAAAGAAATTTTAAAGAATTCGCAACTGCTCATTTTTCTAAAAGAAATCTTTTCCAGTAATGATAAAAAGAAAAGTCCATTCACCCCCTGATTTCTTCTTTCCGTCCATCAATTATACTCGGATAACTTCTGTTAACCGAATATATCTTTCGAATATTCCACGTTCATCGCGAAACTTTTTTAAACTGTCTCTCACGTATATATATTCCCGGCAATAAAGTGTCGTTGAGAAACGAACCTACGATGGAGGTCGTTCTCCACCGTAGTTCTCGTAATTTTTCACAAAACCGAGAAGAGGCGTTTCGATGGCCGCGAGTGAAGTTTGAAAAGCCGCGGAGAAGAGGCGGCGTAAATCGACGACTCAATGAAGCAGAGCTACGACACTTTGTCTGAAACGCGTAAGTGCGCTCGACGACTTGAGGAGAGCACCGCCGATGGCGGTTCGTTTCACGCGCGAGAGATTCGCGCTCCGAAAGACCGCCTTGAGCGTGACTTTTGAGGAAGCCACCCTCCACAGTGAGCACAGTAATAATACTAAATTTTTTCTACATTCATTGAGAATTAATCCTTTACGGTCGGCGCACTGAAACAAACAAAAGTAAATTTATTTCGGAAAAAGTTTTGCATTATATTGACATTATTTATATTCATATGTTGACATATATTTATATATATATATATATATATATATATATATATATATATAAATATAGATATACGGATACAGATATAAATATTGTCACTAGAGTTGCACGATATTTTTTCCGTGAGTGTAAATTTAATTATGAAATTAAATCTAAAATATATGACCGCATTTATGCGAAGTTTCTGAAAAATTTCAATTAAATTGTACATTGCAACGCGTTCAAAGAATTTTTCTCGCAGCTGCGTAATTTCTCTCGCCGGTTTTCTTTTTTTGGATAAATTATAAACTTTACGTAGAGACGAGTTTTAAGTTGTATCATGAATTTCGTCCAAATTAGATTTTTATAAATACGTAATGTTGTGGAGTACACAGCGAAATGCAAAATAATTTCTCGCGAAAGGCTGAACGATGGAGCACGTAACAAACAGTTTAACATTTCAGCGCGTTTATTCGGCCGGAATATTTTGGAAATGCAGGAAAACGATGCGCGCGTTTTGAATGCCAAAGATAATCATTTTATTTACAATTCAATTAGACAGTTTCGCGAAATCCATTGCGAATATCTTCAGATTATGGCCGCTGTTTATCTTCTTTATCGCTGGTTGCTCGTCTTTCTTCGATAATTTACATTATCAACTATCGTTGCTCGTTGGAATAAATCCTAGTGATAATAATTTGTATCCTCATTTTGTCAATCAACTCGACATTGCAATACACCGGAGCAATAAAACGGATAAATATTTATCGTTCGTTTCGATCGATTATTTAAATATCATTTAGCGAGATCGTTTTCGATTAAATGACTTACGACATTATTAAACGCGGTGAATTAAAAATGGCTGAATTAAAAATTTAAAGTGTTTCAAGCAGCGAGACAGTGAATTCCAAACTGCCAATTTACAATCTAATACCGCACTTCGACGATTACCTGGCAAGCTGGGAATCAGTTTAATGTAGTAATGGTATTTCCGCTATCGATCATCGGCACAATGAAACCCCCAAGTATAGAAATCTAATAATCCTTGACGCAAGCACGTGACTATTCCTACATCTTCGGGACAAGAATTTCCGTCGACGAGAATACATTCGTTGGCGAATCAATTAATGGATGATTAATGTCTGGATAATTGACATTCTAGAATATCAATTTCTAATGCTATGCCATTAGAACGAGAAGTTTATGCAAGCTATCCTACGGATTGTCTAAATGGATTCATAGGATACTCGTTACGACAAAAATGATTATCTTGGTTATAATTAGCAGTTGCCAGGCGATTCTACATTTCTTCTGTATAATTAATGCATTCTATCTTCTGCACTATTATTAGTTTAATTAACGGATTCGTTATCTTGTAAATATTTTTAAAATTAGTCACGTTTGCAAAATTGCTTTATTACGTCCACTTTTGGAGATAAATTGTCCCAGAAATTGATCAATCTTACATTGTGTATTATATATCTAACTTTTTAAAAAATAACGATTCTACGTTAACAAATAATCCTAAGTTCCAAGATAAATTAAAGAAGAGATGATCGTCGTGTTTCAATAAATCTATCGAATAGAGTCGTCGAATTTTTCAAAAATAGGAATTTCTATTTCACTTTCATCAATAAATTCCAAATTCTCAGAAGTTTGTCAATCTTATACATATTTCGCATATTGGTTTGTCCAATTTTTAAGAAAATAACGTGACCCTACGTGAATAAATAATCCTAAATTTCAAGATAAAAATCAAGTTAAAAAGAGATGATGATTGTAGTTCAATAGATCCATCAATTAGATCGTTTCGAGCAGAGATCTTTGAGAGTGTGTCGTTTCCTTAGAATCGTGGAACTTTTCAAAAAAGAGGAACGTTTACTTGGCTTAACTATCGATCCCCTGACTGTAATTATCCGTGGAATTCAGGGGAATGCACCGAGGCGGGGTGTACGTCGACCTTGTGTAAGAACAAGTGAAAATTCGAGGAATGTCACCGTATGCCGCGCCAATGAGGTTGCAACGCCAGGCGATCGTCACCGCAAAAACGTATCGTACGCAGAGAATGCTCGATCCGGTTAGGTTAGCTCCCCCGTAGAAATTCGCGGATGACATGAACCGTGACGAGACGACGCAGGTTTTATCGGTAAACCTGTATACCATTGGCAAAAACGATTTGTCCCGTTTTGTCTCGTTTACGCGATTGTCAGTGGGCGTAGTCCACACCGGATCGAGCTATACACCGAGCTCGTGAAATCAGTGAAGAATGAAATTAACACGTTCCCAGTGCCGGAAACGAGCCAATCGACGAAAATACAGAGAGATGATGCACGAACGTAGGAAGAATTTTTCGTCGAAACGTCACCTCCAACGGGAAAGTAAATGTATGTCGAAGTAAAATTAATCATTTTGTTTAACAACGATAAGAAAATTTTTATTCGCACATCGGTGCATTTTACGTTGAGAGACATAGTGAAATATACTGAAACAAAAGTAAAACGTCGTTCGTCGTTTAATAAGAAGCGGGGGAATTTCTATTGCGAGGTTTTAATAGTATGTGAAGGTGAAAGTTTAATATATGTTTCTTTGAATTTACGTTCATAATGTCGGGATTTCAAGTTATAAGGTGACAAAGTTTTCGTAAAATTTGATATATGAATAGAGTAATTAGTAATTGTGTTTTTTAAAAAAGTATTTAATAAAAATGAAGGACATTCGATATTCGTGTTTCATACGTATCTTCAATGTTTGTTAATAGTAATATTGCGTTAATAGAGTTTTTGACTAATTAGATATGAATTCATTAGTCATGTAAGTTCGATTAATTAATTGACGAATTAACACTAGATTTACTATTATGTTATTTTTCTCGTTGTAACAGATAAAAACCACGTTTTATCAATAAATACTATCTTTCTAGAATTTACTTTTTAGATTCCATTCTTGTAAAACGTGTGAGTTATTGTTACGAATTCGTAGCACAAATATCTAGGAATATCGGGACGTAAAATAGTACGAATAACTATTGTAATACACTTCGAGAGAATATAAATTTTAAAAAAAGCAAAGAAATAAAAGAACATAAATATATACAAAATATCAGATTCCGATAAATATTGATGCGTTTGTAGTGCTCGGTGGGGGAAAAAAATATCATCCTGGGGTAAAATGCTTTAAAAAATGTATCGCTGAAAATGTCATGTTATTTCTCAAAAACAGAACGTAACGAAAAGTGCGGTGCAAATATCTTTCGAGTGAAACGATATTAAAATATCAATTGCGTTCTCTTTTCCGTTAACCAGACAAAAATCAGAATTTTTGTTTTGAATGGTCACGACTTGGCAGATAAACTACAGAAAAAGAAAACACGGATAAAAATTCCTCGAAGTTGATTGAATTATGAGAATCGAGAAGTTTCGAAATTGAAGTTCATACCCGTGCTTCCAACTTGTCAGAATTCTAGCTTGTAATTACGTTTCGCGTGACAATAAAAAGCCGGGACGATGAATTTATTAAAAACTTGCCTTACGTTCCAGACGAGTTCAGGAGTAAAGTTGCCTGCGAGAACGATGTCATCAATCTTGTCTGCCACCCCGGCCAAAGGGTTGCCATCTTCAGTGCATCGTTCGGCAGAACGGAGTACGAATCCCTTCAGTGTCCCCAGCCCCACGACGTGAAGGAAGAAAGTGAGTAAATTGCTTTAAAAAAGGCTCATGTTTAAATATTATTCCTAAAGAATCGAAAATACACAGCGCAGTGAATATATCGAAAAGTGCGAGATAATTGGCAGTGGCCGTTCCTAAAAATAACAAATTACAAATTTCGAAAGTTGGAAATAATATTGAGAAACAATTTTTATTTTATTCGTAAAGCAATAAATATTTTCATTGATTTGAAAATTTCTCCATGCTTCTCTTCTAGAATTGTTAAAAATGATACGTTTAAGTTGAAAATATAATAGTTCATAGCAATCGTGGCTTTCGAGTTCATTCTGACAATAATTCCAGAGATATATTTCTAGATAGGTTAATCTTGAATTCTAGGAATTTTAAAGTTGATTTTTATTTCGCGTAAATTACGAAGCATTCACCGAGACCAAATTTTCGACCAAAGTTTTGATAGATCACTTTAAAATGAGTCTACAGGTCTGAAGAAAATTATTAAAAAAATGCTCTAGCAAGATAGCATGTTAATAATTCTTCTAAATATCGTTCTTGAAACCGTAAAAGCCCTTGAGGAGATTAACGACCAAAAAAAGAAGATATTCGGAAGTTAGTCGCGTCATTAAATGTTTACGCGAGCGTAAACATTCATGGCCGGCCTGTTGAGGCAAGATACACGTTATAATAGCAGTTTATGAATCTCAAAGAGCAATTCCGCTTTTTCAGATAGTTTCATGACAATATCGATATCCCTCAAGAAGCTTGTTTCATCCGGACGAAATATTATTCTTTGATCCTACGTACTTTGCATGTTTAAAGGATGGACTTCCGAAAAAGCTATGCATATGCACGCCACTTGTATATGTATTCCCTCGTGCGAGAATAATTTCATTTTTGACAAAGTTATCGTTTCCTTTGAAGTCTTCGAAACTGAAATTTTTTTTAAGCTCGCCTTTATGATGCAGTTCAAATATTGACAGATTGACGAACCGTGCAGTTAAATTGATGCGCAAATATTTGTGGGTGCTGTTGATTAAAAAAAGAAAAAAAGAAAAAACGACAGAAATGTTAAAAAATAATATTGTAATTTGGAAATATGAGTAAAAATAATTTAAAAACATTGAGGATATTAATAATAATATATATATCGAGGAATAAATAATAATTACGAAAATAATACGGCTGTGAAACGTTTGATTTAATTCTGAAATTTTTAATAGGAAATAAATCAAATAAATCTGATTGCCTATAAAAGTACTGATAAGAACGTAGAAATAATTATTGAAACATTCTTCTTCCACCAATGTAACTGTACGTAACAGTCAACGTTCAATTTCTCTCCCAGACAGCTAGCCATACACGTTTCTGAAACATTTCGAGTTCCCAAACATTTGAGAAACATTCGTTCTTTCATCCTGCTCTTCCATGAAGTTTCTCGAAATGGAACATGCAGTTAAAATAAAAGCGATCCATAAAACTGCGCATTTACATTCAATAGCCGTGCGAATCGATTCGAAGTCCGCCGGAATTCGTGAGGGACTTTGCAGAGAAAGTGGAGCAGAGGTCGGGTCGCTATCAACCCCTTCGTGACGCTGCTGCCCAGACGGCATTCTCGTGAGGATAACAGTCCCCGAAAACATTGAAATGCCATTGGCCACGTATCACTCTCTGTAAAAGGTTTCCTTTATCCGATGCGCTGACTTTTCGCTCTTCGTGACCTCGTTAGCCAGCGAATTCTTCGACAAATGCTTCTCATTATCGCGGTCTTCGTTCTCCAGCCGTTCATAGTCCATCCGACATATTGAAATGAATGGCCCTTTGTTTCTGTCGTTTTCAAAAATGAATCTCTCGCGGAGATCTTTATATTCGAATATCAATATATTTTCCACAGACGTACAAGTATGAAATAAATCTGTACAGTTACAGGCTCAGGATTTGGACAGCAAAGTTTTGAGAAAAGTTCCGTAATACTTTCGAGGCATCGTCGTGTAGAAACGATATTTTGTAGAAAATTTCACGATAAAAACGATCATTTTTATCGTCGTCAGAAATTATATTATAGTGTAGCTGGAAATTCTTGCAAATTTCATTTAAAGGACAAGGGATTTTATTAAAATTTCCGAGATCAGACGGAGATTCATACGAGAAAAATAAATTTTCGTATCAAATTTAGAGTGTTCTATATAGTTGATGGGAATGCGTAAACAGTTCAGAGGCTTCTTTGTTCTTTAGCTCCGCTCCAGCACGACGATCAAGTACACGTAATAGTCGTCTCTCGAATTGTCCACTGCTCGTATTGTCACTCACGATATCGTTTCGATCTGGTTGTTTCTTGGCCACGTGATACATCGTTCTGTTCCACCATGTCGTTCGCACAAAGGAATCCACCGCGACAGCAACACGCACAAGCGGCTTCCGGTTCTGACACATTTCCAACTATCGGGTAGAGAAATTCAGTGAAATTCAGTGATTTAATTCCGTTAAAAACAGGTGGTGAAAATTTCGGAAGCGTTTATTTATTTGATATTTGACATGAAAGTCTTGTAGAGTGATCACGTATTGCGAAGATTTAGGCAGTGTTGCGTCTGGAATTTTTGTCAGAAAGTTTTTGCTCTGAATTATAAATACTTACTAACTCAAATTGTTAATAATAAATATTGGTAGATAGTAATAAATGAGCATATTGATAAACTGAGAAATTGGGTTAAATTTTCTGTTTACGTATAATTCAAAATGAGATAAAAATACAACTATCAAATTTCGACTTTTCAATTAAAAGACAACATCGACGTCATTTCTTTCACTCCTCGCTATACTTATAATTAATTGTGCTTCGCTTAATCGTCCCCAAAATCGATCCCAAATCAAAATTCCATAATAAAATAACGAAGGACGCTCTCGAAACAAAGGGAATTTAAAAGAAAGAGGGGAAAAAAAGGGAAAGGGAGCTAAATCGAGAGAAATCCGATTTGAAGTGAACAAAAAGGCAATAAAGTGGTGCTTTGTATTCATCGCGCGAGTGCGATGCCTCGGATTGATGTGGAGCGTGAGGATTATTAAGCGTAGATTGATGAAGTTGACAGTTCTATTAAACGCGGTGAAGTAGTCACAGTCGATCTTTAATCCGACATTCAATTTTCATTCGACGAACTCGATCCCCGCTTAATTTCTGGCAAGTTGAAAGGTCCGGTATCGTTCTCCCCTTCTCGTGCACGAAGCAGCAACAACGAATTGATCAATTTTGTCTGGTTACAGCTTGCATGGCGTCGTACGCGACGGAAACCGTGATGAATTTGTGCCATGGGAAACGACGGTGCTCAGTGGTGGCGAACAGTTCGACGTTCGGCGAGCCATGCAGCCCGGAGAGCAGGACGTATTTAAAAGTAGTATACACGTGTGGTAAGTCCGATCATTCTCCTACGAGCGTATTTAATTATCGTGAATGTATCATAATAAGACACTGTGTGTATTTTAAGGATAATTATCGTTCCTTTTATTCTTCCAATGTCTAGTAATTATTAATTTGGAATATAATTTCTTTCATGTTGGTCCATTCATTTTACGACTCAAGGTAATTCGAAATCAATTTACATATATAAGTTACAATCGTTGTGTTGCATTGTTAATCATTCAACTGACTAACTGCAAACAGAATAATTTCGAATAATATATCGGGGGATTATTAAGCGCAAGTGAATTTCCGAAGAATCAGATTAAGCTCAGGTACAGCGTACGCGTATATTCGCAGTATAGAAGGTTATATAAAATAATGTGAAATCGATTTATCCAAATTACAGCTGTTATTAAACGCACGTAAATTTTCGAAGAATTTTTAAGTTCATTTCCGGAAATTTCAGCACGCGTATCGCTCGGATTATTATTTGCAGAGCGGTCGATAGTCGAACGTTCTGACACTTTCATCGGGAATATTCGTGGCGAATTTGGACGATTTTTCACGGACGACAAATGGAGCGGAACATTTATTTTTCCGCGGAACGTCATGTTCTCTGTGATCTCTTATGAAACTGGCCCGCACCGGGGGCGAGGGAGGGGGAATCGTTCGTCGTTTACGTAATAAATCATCGCCTATTTTTAATGCACGAGTGAAAACAACCGAATGACAGAGGCAGCCAATTTAATTTGAACCGCGTGCAAACACGATCTCGGTCCGACCGGTCCGCCGATTCTTTTTTTTTTTTTCAAACAATTTCACAATTCGGACGCATTAACTCGCACCACTCGACACGAGAGAAAAAAAGAAATTATTCGTTCGCTTTTATTCACCGTTTTATGATCTTTCGCGAACATTTCAGGACGCATTTCAGGACGACAATCCGGTTCGATGATCGTGCAATTGTATTTTATTTGAAATTGTTCATCTCGCCGAAATCAGATATTTTAAAAAATATTTTAATATCGAGTACGAAACAAAGCACTGTTCTGCGAGAGTTGATGGGAACTTTTTTTTTTCAAATTTCCATTGGAATTATTTATCGAATCATTCTGTTTCATCGTAGTTGTTTCCAATGAGCACACAAACGGCAAAAAAATTGGGCAGTTCAACAAAGGAGTAATGCTATTTCGCATGATTCGTAATAAAAATTGGCCCAAAACTTGGTAATCGGAACGCGGTTCAATCTATCGATACCACGTTATTGCACATTTCATAAATTCGATGAATATCCGTTGAATATCTAAACTCACCCGAAAATTATTCTACGTTTACCACTAATAAATCAGTTCAAGTATCGAAGTAACATGGCGCTGAAAATTATGCAAGCTTCAGTTCCAACAATAGTCACGAATAATATCAATGTCAAGATATTGACAAATTTTTTACGAATATTTAAAAAAAAAAAAAAGAAATGAAAATCGAATCGCAGCAGGACCACATATGGCGAGAATTATCCGAATTTGCGACCTAATGAGCTAGCAACATTGGTTGATAAGTTGGAAGTGCACACCGAGTGACGTCGATTGACCCAAAAAGCTTGAGGACGATTGACGCGGGAGGGTTGGATCACGGGAAGTTCTCCTGATGGCTTTTCACTCCGGATGGCTCGTTTCTGTACTTAATGGCCAGTCAGTCTGAACGAAAGGACTTGCTTAATAGCCATTGTTTGGACCGTTGGCAAGTGAATAATGATCGGTCGTATACCATTCGAAGGTTTCGGCCGATGGTAACCTTTAATACTTGAAATTCGCCGATTTTCGAGCACGTCGAATGGAAATGCGTTCCGTTCGTTTGGAAATAGATGTTTCAACAATTTCTAGTGGCTGTGTCGGTGATCATTCGGCATTGCGTCCTTGACAAGTAAAGCTTACAGTTTTGATACACTGTAAGACAAAATCGTATGTCAATGTAATGCAACTTTATTTAGAATTTTTGTCAGCTGTCAAAAAGGAAATTACCAAGATTTGCTTAATATTTCCTTAGATTTTGGAATTTTAACACGAATTCTAAAATTCTAAAAAAAATTGATATATTTTTGTAACATTACGATAAATCGTGGTTCGGTTCCTAATGTTAACTAACATCCTGCGAATTGAGAAACAAATATAGAAAAAGTAACAGTTAAAAATCTGAGTTAAAATTACGCATCTTTCGACAAGAAACTATACTTTTATTTAGATATTTTGAAGGCAGATACAGTTCCAAAGACTCGTCATTCGAATGCACGAACGCGAGAAGAAAATTGTCAGAATTATAATGTATGTGAATATATCTGAAACTGGAGTATTTGTACGAACAGCATACGAGGAATGAAGGATTCTCAGAAACGCTTTATTGGAGATTCTTAATTTATTCTTCATTATTCAAATGAACGACTAATGTATTGTTTATTACGAAAAATATACTGCTCGTTGTTTCTCACGTTCATATTAAGTACGAAGCATTTTGTAAAGTAGGAGAGGATTAGAATAAAAGAGCAAGTTAAGTAAGCATGAGTGAGAAAATCAAGAAGGAGAAATAACAGCATCCAAAGGGACCACGTAGAATATTCCAAATAAAAAACTTTTTAAAGAATATAATCTCCGCAGTACCTTCCAGTTTTTTCATAACAATTGACACAAAAAAACGTGAATAAATTAAACGGATTCTAAACGATCCCGATAAAGATTAAAGAGGGAATAGAATTATTCCCAAGAACAACTTTTCGTCGATTAATCGCCTTGACCTAGAAAAATCTTCTTTTTTCGCCGAGCAGTCTGACTTTTAACCGTATGAAAAAAAAATTAACACTTTCAATTCTCCAAGAAACCAGAAATAATAAGAAAAAGACGTGAATAAATTAAACGGATTTTAAAGGATCCCGATAAAGATTAAAGAGGGAATAGAATTATTCCCAAGAACAACTTTTCGTCGATTAATCGCTTCGACCTAGAAAAATCTTCTTTTTTCGCCGAGCACTCTGACTCTTACCGTATAAAATAAAAGAAAATAAAAAAAAAGAGAGAACAGTACAAAAGAAAGGAGAGAAGAAACCGCTTATGAAAATCGATCCGAGGGGGGGTAATTTGCTAATCTGAATGGCGTGGCGTCTCGCGGAGCGTGGAGTTTTCGAAAACGGCCAGCTATCTAGTCGCTAATGACACTCTCGACGATACACCGAGTCAGCCCAGTGTCGCGGCCTTCTCTGTGCATTTCTGCGGAAAATTCCGGAATAATGACACTGGCGTGGCCTTTAACGAGCCACCTCGTCCGTTCAAGCCGAAGAAATCCGCACGGTCGCATCGAGCTTACCCGCGCCGCGTGTAACGAGCCGGCGGCCGCTTGTAACGTCAAGTTATTTTCATTGTGCACGCGACGCTAGGAAGAAACTGGGCTCGGTTCTCTGCTGGATCTCCACTCTCCTCCTCCTCCTCCCCTTTTTCTTCTCTAACTGGGTTGAGAACGGGCTACAGATTCAACCGCGGACACTTTTAATGGCACTCGTCGCGCAACATTGTCGCTGCGGTAACGACCGACTGCTCGCATTGTCGGCGCGAATTTACGCTGGCAACCGGCGGGGAAAGCCAGCCTTGTTATTCGACGTTTCTGTTACTTTCGTTTGACCAAGTTTCGTCTTGCCTTCGTTTCCGCGCAAACCTCGAGACACGGAGGTTCTTCTTTTTTTTGTGTTTCGTTGTAGTATAAGCGGTCATTCGGAGTTTGGAAATTTAATCATTTTAATCGATGTTTGTGATATTTTTTTTTTTTTTTTTTTTTTAGCAACAATGGACTTTGATATGAAGAGGTTGGATATGAAATTCACCTTCTTTATTTTTACCAAATTGTTCACCAAATCTAATTCATCTAACGAAACTTATTTATTTATTTTTTATTTATTATTTATTTATTTATACCAAATTGTTCACCAAATCTATTCACCTAACCGGTTATTTGTTCATCCCATCAAGGTGAGTTAAATTTTTCATTCATTTTGAATTAAGATTTACAACCATTTTTTTTGGGTAACATTTCCACATAAATTTTCATCTTTAAATTACGGAGGATTCAGTTTCATAATCCGCATTCTATCCAGTCTGCTATGCTGAAGTAGAAATTGCAAAATAGGATTACATGGATTGACACGTTACACGTACTCAGTGAAAAAATAAAAAAAAGAAAGAAAATACGATGGATAACGAATGTACGAATGTGAATATTTTCAACAATCTACTTGCATATTAATCGCAGAGCGTTATCTACGACTGAAAAAAAAAACGTCCCTTTTAGTTGATGTAACATTAATCATGTTTTACGCCTGAGAGCAATGAGTCGACATATCCGCGTGAGATCGATACATTAAGCTGTGCTTGCGGTATTCTTACTGTCAGCATTGATCAATCACACGCGAGTACATAAATGGAGTTGCGTGAAACGTTCGATAACGAATGTTTCCTTCATTTACATTTTACTTTATTCTTCGTTCTTTCGGTGTGAAAAACACTCGGGCAGAATTATTTTTAATACGTAACACTCGATACGAAGTACACTCAATATTAATATTCAAATTTCATCACTGTCGTTTCATTTAATAATGATCGATGCTCAATGAAATGCTCAAGTAAAGACATACGAATTCCAGTTACCGTCAAAGATAAAACGCAAACTGACGAGAAAGAAAGGAGAAGCATCTCGAATGGATGAGCTGAAAGTAACGTTGAAACAGTGGTCGTTGAAAATAAAGCTTCGAAGTTTCCGGTGTGTAATTACAATTCTAGTGCCACTACTTTCTGCGTTATTGTGACCGTCCACCGCAATGATAAATAACAGTACCATAAGATAGCCTTTACAGCTTTTGTTTCTAGTAGCTTTTCGAACGATTTTCCATTTCACGCGCGAAACAGAAAATCGACTGTTCACGACGGCAATCAATTCGAGTAATCGGTGGAGTGTGTTTCACGTACCCGCG